ATTCCCCTCCTGTTGAGGCAATCATGGGGCTGCTGAGATTGGAAGGTGGCCCAGACCTTGAAGCAGCATTAATTAGTGTACCTATTAGAATGTAAGCCAGATAACTCCTTGAAAGGTCAAAGAGTAAAATGCTTCCAAAACTCTTTAATTATTATCATTATCCCTGGGAAGTAAAGGAATGCCAAGGGGGTGCATGTGGCAATGCCTCAGATTTTGTGCAAAGTAACTGGAGAGCCATTATTAGCAGCGGTTCCTCAGATCAGTGGAATGCTGTGAGCCTCCTGGCTTGTGGCTGGATCTAATATGGGCACATAGTTTTAAGGCTTGTCTTGTCTGGTACAATATTTGGGAAAAGACTTGTTCAGTAGTGAGCAAAGTATTACTAACTACCCAGTTGAAGTTAGATGGTATGAACTGTAGTAGGCCACATCAGCATGGTCACACAATGGCTTTAAAGACACAGGATCTGAAGTAGAACTGGGGAAAGCAGACCATATGGATGATTCTGGGGTGGCTAGTTGGATAGTACATGAGGAAGTCTTGACTATTAGGGTGTTGAAATAGTGCACAGTAACTTAAAGCACTGCACAGGTAGCGCCAGGACAGAGTTAAATTTTACCCAGCAGTGGGCAGGTGGACCTGCTGACAAAGGAAAGCTAAGTTAAAGGTATTGATAAGGCAAAGAGTTGGCTCAGTTAAGAGAAGGGAGGGGAGGAAAAAGAAGTTAAAGGAACAGAATGGCTCTAGAGCAGTGGTTCTTTTTTTTTTGTATTGAAGTATAGTTGATTTACAATATTGTGTTAGTTTTAGGTGTACAGCAAAGTGATTCAGTTATAGACATATATATATATTATTTTCCAGATTCTTTCCATTATAGGTTATTACAAGATACTGAATATAGTTCCTCATACTATACAATAGGTCCGTCTTATTTATTTTATATATAGTAATGTGTATCTATGAATTCTAGACTCCTAATTTATCACTCCCCTTATCCTCCACGTTCCTCTTTGGTAACCATAAATTTGTTTTCAATGTCGTGTGAGTCTATTTCTGTTTTGTAAATAAGTTCATTTGTATCATTATTTTAGATTCCACATATAAGTGATATCATAAGGTATTTGTCCTTCTCTGTCTGACTTCACTTACTATGATAATCTCTAGGTCTATTGATGTTGCCGCAAATGGCATTAGTTCATTCTTTTTTGTGGCTGAGTAATATTCTATTGTATAATATACCACATCTTCTTTATCCATTCATCTGTTGATGGACATTTAGGTTGCTTCCATATCTTAGCTATTGTAAACAGTGCTGCTGTGAACATTGGGGTGCATGTATCTTTTTGAATTAGAGTTTTCTCCAGATAATATGCCCAGGAGTGGGAATGCTTGATCATATGGTAACTCAATTTTTAGTTTTTTAAAGGAGCCTCCATAATGTTCTCCATAATGGCTGCACCAAACCACATTCCTACGAGAAGTGTAGGAGGGTCCCCTTTCTCACACCCTTTCCAGCATTTATTATTTGTAGACTTTTTGATGACGACCATTCCAGCTGATGTGAGGTGATATCTCATTGTAGTTTTGATTTGCATTTCTATAAGAATTAGCGATGTTGAACATCTTTTCATGTGCCTGGTTGCCATCTGGATGTCTTCTTTGGAGAAATGTCTGTTCAGGTTTTCTGCCCATTTTTGATTGGGTTATTTGTTTTTGCTTTTGTTTTTTTAATTTGAGCTGTATAAGCTGTTTGTATATTTTGGAAATTAATCCCTTATCAGTCGCATTGTTTGCAAACATTTTCTCCCAGTCCATAGATGGTATTTTTATTTTGTTTGTGGGTTTTTTTTTTTTTTGCTGTGCAAAAACTTTTAAGTTTAACTAGGTCCCATTTGTTTGTTCTTGCTTCTATTTCCATTACTCTAGGAGATGAATCAAAAAAAATATTGCTGCGATTTATGTCAGAGAGTGTTCTGCCTATGTTTTCCTCCAGGAGTACTATAGTATCCCGTCTTAGATTTAGGTCTAATCCATTTTGAGTTTTTTTTTTTTAACGTTTGTTTGTTTGTTTTTGAGGGGGGAGGTAATTACATTTATTTATTTATTTATTCTTAGAGGAGGTCCTGTGGATTGAACCCAGGACTTCATGCATGCTAAGCATGTACTCTAGTGCTTGAGCTATATCCTACCCCAAGTTTATTTTTGTATATGGTGTTAGAGAATGTTCTATTTCATTCTTCTGCATAATAGCTGTCCAGTTTTCCCAGCACCACTTATAGAGGAGACTGTCTTTTCTCCATTATATAGTCTAGCCTCCTTTGTCATAGATTAATTGACCATAAGTGCTTAGGTCTATTTCTGGGCTTTCTATCCTGTTCCATTGGTCTATGTGTCTGTTTTTGTGCCAGTACCATACTGTTTTGATTACTGTAGCTTTGTAGTGTAATCTGAAGTCAGGAAGTGTGATTCCTCCAGCTCTGTTCTTCTCTCTCATGATTGTTTTGGTTATTCAGGATCTTTTGTGTTTCCTTACAAATTTTAAAGTTATTTGATCTAGTTCTGTGAAAAGTGCCATTGGTAATTTGACAGGGATTGTACTGAAACTGTAGATTGCTGTGGGGAGTATGGTCATTTGAACAATATTGATTCTGCCAACCCAAGAGCACAGTATATCTTTCCATCTGTTTGTGTCAGCTTCAGTTTCTTTCATTAGTGTCTTGTACTTTTCAGAGTACAGGGCTTTTGCTTCCTTAGGTAGGCTTATTCCTAGGTATTTTATTGTTTTTGATGTGATGGAAAATGGGATTGTTTCCTTAATTTCTCTTTCTAGTAGTTTGTTTTTGTATAAAAATGCAACAGATTTCTACATATTAATTTTGTACCCCACAACTTTACCAAATTCATTGATGAGGTCTAGTAGTTTTCTGGTGGCATCTTTAGGATTTTCTATGTATAGTATCATGCCATCTGCAAAGAGTGACAGTTTTACTTCTTCCTTTCCAATGTGGAGTCCTTCAACTTCTTTTTCTGGCTAAAGGTTTGTCAATTTTGTTTATCTTTTCAAGAACCAACTTTTAATTTTATTGTTACTTTCTATTGTTTTTTAGTTTCTATTCCATTTATTTCTGCTCAGAAATTAAGCCCTGCTGGCCTTCAAAGCCAGATGTTGTGGGGGTTTGTCTGCTGGTGCCAGACCTCCAGGCTAGGGAGCCTGACGTGGGCTCGGAACTCTCACCCCTGTGGGAGAACCCCTGCAATATACTTATTCTCCAGTTTGTGGGTCACTCACCCCAGGGGTTATGGGACTTGATTATATTGGGAGTCCACCCCTCCAACCCATCTCACTGTGGGTCCTTCTTTATATCTTTAGTAGTAGAAGATCTTTTCTGGCAGGTTCCAGTCTTTTTCATAATTGGTTGTTCTGCAGATGGTTGTGATTTTGGTGTGCTCGTGAGAGAAGGTGAGCTCAGGGTCCCTCTACTCCACTACTTGTCCGCTCTCCTTCAGTCACTCTGGTGGTTTACACAGTCCCTGCCAGGTAGCGGGCTCCAGACTTGACTCTCTGGTGCTGATGCTGCGGCCGGCAAGGGTGCAGATGTGGCTGCGGCTGTGACTACCGTGGCAGCACTAGAGGCTGCAGCTGCGGTGGAGGTGGCTGTTGGGCCCTCTTCCCTCTTCAGACTCCCTAGAGCAGTGGTTCCTAAAGGATAATTCCTGAACAGCAGCATCAATATCAATTGGGAACTTGTGGGAAATGCTTATTTTCAGGACCTGCCAAGTCAAAATTCTGGGGGTGGGTCTCAAGCAATTCTTGATTTAAGAAACCTTACAGGTGAGTTTGAGAACCGCTGGTCTTGAAAAAGCAAATGAACCTGGAGATCTCAGAGATGAGCAGTGTCCCCTAAAAAGGAGATGCAGAGGCCTGTTGTACTGGTAGATGGCTGATGTGATGTGGTAAGAGTCAGTGGTATAGAAGAAGAGGCGAATACTGAAGTTCAGATTTCAGGTGGGTCATCTGACGACCGAAGATTAAATCAAGGGTTAGAATACAGGGAAAAAGGGATCCAGTTGATCATATCAAGGAAGATGAAGGTGAGCCTTAGAGGGCAGTATGTGAGGGTGAGGAGGATTTGGAGTCAGTAGTATAATGAGGTATCAAATGACTGAGAATTGTGACAGATGAAAGGTTTAGCCATGAAAGTGGTGAGCAAGGACCGGGACAGCCCCTGGTCCTCTCTCCCCTTCAGTTGGGAAAATGGGAAAAACCAAGTAATTCTTCTACTGGCTACAAGAAAAAGGTACCAGGAAGTATCTGCCTGACTAGGGGAAAAGGGGTGGCTGCCTAGGAGAAGAGAGGTCCACGTTAGAGAAAGGAGGTGAGGACAAATGGGAGCATTAACCCATACACAACAAGGGTTCTTAGCCCACCGCTAAAGGGAAGCAGGCTTGGGGATGAGTAGACAATAGTTCAAGCAGACGTGACAAAAGTTCTCCTGAGTAGCCAGCATAACTAAGGTGGCTCAAGAAAACAGTAGATTCGGAGGTCAGATCAGTGAAACAGCCAAGAGAGAAACACTAAGTGAAAAGAGGATGTCTAGAGCCTGGAGAAAACACACACGTAAAGACAATACAGTCCAACTTTCAACATTAAGTTGTATTGACACAAACTCTTTCACTGAAAAAAAGGAACAGAATGGTGGCATGGGAAATTGGTTGCTATATTTCTGGAGGGTATAATCACAGCTTTCAGAGACCATTTAGAGGAAAGAAACATTACTGACAGCAGAGGTAGGAACAAAGATAAACCCACATTTAAAATTTGCAGTTACTGTTTAAGCAAGGAGTCATGGTCAAAGTGGATTCCCATTCTAATAAAGTTGGGACAACCCCCCAAATGCCTATGTGACATTCTTAAATAAAGCCCTATAATTTTATGATATTCCTTTGTTTAGTATGGAGAGGGAAAAAAAGGGAGTGTTTTATAATTTAGTCAGAAAAAGTTACACAATATATATGCTTTATTTCCATGGATTTCTAAAATCATACACTTAAAAAAAATCTCTACCTTAAATCAAATTTACCCCACTATGTAATACTATGAAACCAACCAAACTGACACAATAATTGCTCTCCAAAGACAGTAACAGACTGTAAGATCTAATAAATTGTAAAACATAAGAGACTGCAACCAACTGATTAAAAACAAAAAGAAAAACTAAAGAGCTTGCCCCTTTGTAACAATTTACAGAACTCTGTTTAATAAACATGAAAAATCTGCTTTGGATAAGGCATTGCTTCATCCCTTGTCAGAGAATAAGGCACACAAGCATCAGCATGACAGAACACAAATATGTAAGAAAATCTGAAGACGGCAGATGGTACAAATGCCACAAAAAAGCAGGTACTTCTGGGGCACTGACTGTTATATCAAAGTAACATTAAACTGTGCAAATGTGAAACTTACAGCAACTCAATTTTCCTTCTCTAATAAAGGTTAATCATTTTTTACAGACGATCAACCTGAAAGAACAAAGGAAAAAGCCAATTTCCTAAAACTACTTTATTCTGGAAAAAAAAAAAGTTTTGTTTCTCAGTATCAGGCACATTTAAAAAAACAATTTAACTGGTGTAATATTTTAGAATAGTACATAAACCAATTGACAGCAACAAATAATTTTAATGGTACATTCAGGCGTTTACATTTGAAATGACATTGATTCAAGTCCTTTTTGTGTGAATTCTATGGTTATGAGCAAGTATCAATATTTTGTTAATGTTAATTTTGAACAAATATTTTGTTATGTTTAGGTATGTTTTTCAAAACAGTTAAAACTCCAACATACGAGATCTGGGGGCAGAGATACTGAAAAAATAATACTTTGGTAAGATGTTATTAGAGCCAACATATTACAGTAATTATTTCCTGAAGTTATTTCTGAAACAACAGCCTAGGTCTCATGTTACTGTCTTTTGTGAATATTATAACATAAGTGCATTGAAACAAGACTCTGCCAGTAGTCAAAACTGACTAAAGCCCTTGGCACATTAAACTTCAGTCAGGATCAAAATATGTGCCATAAAGAAATGTTAGCATTCACTATACATCTTACTCATAATCTCATATACTTTGCCCATTTCATTGTTTCACCATCTCAGGAAACTGTGGCTCCAAATGGAATGTTAACTTTTCACAAATCAGTCATCCTAAAATGTGAGCTGTTTCTCACCAGGAAATGAACTACCTTAAAAGCATACTTCCAGAAAACTTAACTAGATGTAAATCTAATAACATTGGTAAAGCCAGATAAATAGAAGAAATGTATACAAATGTATCATGGAATAAACAGAACTCTAATATTGCACTGGAGTGTTATGGAAAAGAGGAATACAACATAAATAATTTTTAAAAATTGTACATGCCTCTTGAGCAAGAGGACTCAGGAATTATAGTAATTAATGTTAAGTACTAACACCTTTTTAAAAATTCACTTTAAGGTTGGCAATCCTTAAATATCATTGTCTCAACCAGTGCTCCTCTAAGACTGCCCCATGGTTACCTCAGACATCAATATGAATTCCATGTTTTGAAGACATCATCTGTCTGGTCCCTGTGAAATACATAATGAACGAACAGATGTGAGGTAAAGACGATGTGATGATTACATAAAGCCAGAATGGCAAAGGAGAAGTCTTTCCAAACGGGCACATCCACAAGCCATGGCGAATTCCATCTCGGACATGGTGTGAGGTCCAGGATATAAATAACATCCAGGGAAGAAAGCACCACGAGTCTTTGAGCTTGAAAAGGTGCATAGTAAACTTCAGGGTCAGAACCACAACGGGTATCACAGTAGAACAGTGAAGGAAAGGTCTTCGAGGAAGAGCCAGAGCAGCCTGCAGGGGAAAAGCAGGAGCTAGTATCATTTCCTTCTCCGCAAACAAAATTTGATAGATGCTTCCTAATATTTGTAATCATCTATTTTCCTGCAGGCTATTGGAAATGCAAAGGAGACATTTTCTGTGCCACCTCAAAATGTACTTTGCATTAAATATGGTTTTTTTTTTGAGGGAGGGTTAATTCAGATTATTTATTTATTTTTAAGTGGAGGTATTGGGGATTGAACCCAGGTCTTCATGCATGCTGAACATGCACTCTACCCCTGAGCTAAACCCTCCCCCTAGATATGAAATCAAGATCTCAAGAACATGTGGTTAATTTAAGTTTCATATTATTTGCTTAGAAGTCACAATACATACATAATTTATGTCCTAAATGTATGTTTGTGTAAATTTGGAGTTTTAAAGAATTGTCTTGGGCCTCTAAGAGCATTGAAAATTATTCACAACTGAACAAAATATTCTTCAGTTAAACTTTTTAAAAATCGAAGTATGGTTGATTTTTCAATGTTATAGTAGTTTCAGGTGTATAACATAGTATTCGAAATTTTTATTGACGATACTCCACTTACAGTTATTATAAAATAGTGATCATATTCCCTGTGCTGTACATCTTTGTATCTTATTTATTTTTCACCTAGTTGTTTGTACCTTTTAATCCCCTTCCCCTATCTTACCCCTCTTCTTCCCCCATTCTTCAATTAATAAAGGCATTAAAGGGGAGTATTTTCATTGTAAACACTTCATATTAGCCTTGAATACTTTCATAATTTATTTACAACAACATTAGAGTATATTATTTTAAATAAGTATTCAAAAGCTGAGTTAAACTTCAGTAATATTTCTAAACCACTGTAAAAATGTAATCAATATGCAATGAAAATTTCAGGCTTAACCCCCGAATGACCGAGGAGTAAGGTTTCATTCTCACATATACTAAAGGCTAGTTTCCAACTAGATAATTTCTAAAAAGGAGAAAGCTGAGGATAGAGAAAACTGCCTAAATTCAAATCTCCCCACACATCCCCACACCACATTACAGAACAAGGACAAATAAAACTGTATCAAGCCCTACTCAACATAGCTAGAAGTCAGAGAATGCCCAAACTTCAAATACTGTAAAGTATTAAAATAAACACCAAATCAGAGCTCTCTCTTACATACTCCTGCCTGAAGCCAGGAAAAGCCAATGCTGAAGAAAGATGAAGGGAAATCTAAGATTGATCTAAAGTTACCATCAGAAAAAGAAAGTTCACTCCACATGTGAAAATACCAAAAAGGGTCCTGGTAGATCAAAGTAGTGACTACAGAGAAAAGACTTAAAAGTGGACATGATTCAAGGTTGTAAAAGGCATTAGTCCTGGCTGGGGGAGAAGATGGTACAAAGGAAGGGACAGGTAGCTTTTGAAGACTGAGTGATAAAGGGAAAAAAAGAAGTCACAAAGGCAAAAATTAGGTCCCTATTAAAAAAAGTTAGAGGACACCACCTTTCCACCACATTAAAAAGAAAGTTATCCATTGAAGAGTCTGTACCTTGTCACGCTGTCAAATCAGATCACGTTTAAACTGGGAATCCTGTAAACCCAGGGTTCTTTAACTCCCACCTACAGAATGAACATCAATCAAGTTTATTGATTTGATGTTCCTACATCCCTATTTCCTCTCCCTTCTCCTCCACACTTAGTTGTTTTATTTCTACTTGGTCAGAACATATAACATTTCTGTCTTATGCCATTTTTGTCTCCACCTTTGTTTTTAAGTTCTACACCCACAATATGGCTTGCTCCTCAATGGCAGGGTGGGACGGGGTGCCTACGGTAATCACTACTGAGAGGAGAGCAACAGCCTCGTGTTGAGATGATGAGCAGTTACGCTCTGGATGTGTGGAGGAATAGGGACTCTTCACACTTTTATTTGTGAAGCCAATTTACAGTAATAGATGCTAAGGAAGAAACAAGAAATTTCTCTTGCTTGGCTGACTTCTAAAATAATCCATGCAGATTTTTCATTCATAGATAAACAATGAAAGAAGAAAAGGACATTACCATAAAATTATAGAAGTAAAGCTAGATAACTTAAAAATATAAGTAAAAATAGATACTTAAAAACAAGTATATATTACTTATATGTGGAATCTAAAAAGTACAACCGACTAGTGAATATAACAAAAAAGAAGCTGACTCACAGATATAGAGAACACATAGTGATTACCAGTGGGGAGAAGGAAAGAGGGAGGGGGCAATTTAGGGGTAAAGAAGTAAGGGGTACAAACTATTAGGTATAAAATAAGCCACAAGCATATATTGTACAACACAGGTAATATAGTCAGTATTTTATAATAACTATAAATGGAGTATATAACATTTAAAATTGCAAATCACTATATACTGTACACCTGTAACTTATATAATATTGTACACAGCAACTATATGTCAATAAAATGAATAAATTTTTAAAATAAGTATCATAAATACTCATTCAGTTTTGATATTTATTCCTCAGGACCACATACAATCTGATGGTGAATATGAAAAAATTTTAATACTTCATTCAAAAATAAGGATCAATACATGCAGTATGCTATACTTTATCTGCAGTCTCTCATTTAATCTTTAAAACATTCCTATGACTTAGGAATTATTTTACAGAGGAGGAAACTGGGACTTAGAGAGGCTAGGTAAATTCCTTATGGTGTACAGTTATCAAATGGCAAGCTGTGGTCTGGTTCTAGCTCTGTCTGATTCTATGGCTCATATTCTTAACACAACTGCTTCTAAATGATTCAAAGAATAAATACAGTATACAGCGTAAATGTTTTTTTAAATTACAACAGGAATACTTAAATTCTAGATGAATGCATTTATAAATCACACTTTGTTTTTGTTTTTGTTTTATTGAAGTACAGTTTATTTACAATGTTGTGTTAGTTTCAGGTGTACAGGAAAATTATTGTTATACATATATGTGTGTGTATATATATATACATTCTTTTTCAGTTTATTTTCCATTATAGGTTATTACAAGATATTGAATATAGTTCCCTGTGCTATACAGTAGGTCCTTCTTGTTTATCTGTTTTATATATAGTAGTGTGTATCTGTTAATCCCAAACTTAATTTAAACCTCCCTCTCAGCCTTTCCCCTTTGGTAACCATAAGTTTGTTTTCTATGTCTGTGAGTCTATTTCTGTTTCATAAATAAGTTCATTTGTATCATTATTTTAGACTCCACATATAAGTGATATTATATGATATTTGTCTTTTCTGACATATTTCACTTAGTATAATAATCTCTAGGTCCATTCATGTTGCTGCAAATGGCATTATTTCATTCTTTTTTATGACTCAGTAATATTCCATTGTATACAAATATATATATATATACTACATCTTCTTTATCCGTTCACATGTCAAAGGACATTTAGGTTGCTTCCATGCATTGGCTATTGTAAATAGTCCTGCTATGAACATTGCAGTGCATGTATCTTTTCAAATTAGTTTTTTTCTGGTTATATGCCCAGGAGTGGGATTGCTGGATCACATGGCAACTCAATTTTTAACTTTTTAAGGAACTTCCAATACTGTACTCCATAGTGGCTACACCAATTTACATTTCCACCAACAGTGTGTGAGGGTTTCCTTTTCTCCATACCCTCTCCAACATTTATTTGTGTTCTTTTTGATGGCAGCCATTCTTACAGGTAGGAGGTGACATCTTGTTGTTTGATTTGCATTTCTCTAATAAGAAGTGATGTTGAGCATCTTTTCATGTGCCTGTTGGCCATCTGGATGTCTTCTTTGGAAAATGGCTGTGCAGTTCTTCTGCCCTTTTTTTGATTTTTTAAAAATTGAGCTGTATGAGCCATTTGTATATTCTGGAAATTAATCCCTTGTCAGTCACATTGTTTGAAATATTTTCTCCCATTCTGTAGATACTGTCTTTTCATTTTGTTTATGGTTTCTTTGCTGTGCAAACACTTTTAAGTTTAATTGGGTCCCTTTTGTTTATTCTTGCTTTTATTTCCATTACTCTATGAGCTGGTTCAAAAAAAAAATACTGCTGTGATTTATGTCCGAGAGTGTTCTGCCTATGTTTTCTTCCAGGAGTTTTATAGTGTACACTCTTAAATTTAGGTCTTTAATCCATCTTGTATTTATTTTTGTATATGGTGTTAGAGAATGTTCTAATTTCATTCTTTTGCATATTGCTGTCCATTTTCTCTGCACCACTTATTAAAGAAACTGTCTTTTCTCCATTGTATATTCTTGTCTAGATTAATTGACCATAAGTGCTTGGGTTTATTTCTGGGATGTTCCATTGGTCTGTGTGTCTGTTTTTGTGCCAGTACCATACTGTTTTGATTACTGTAGCTTTGTAGTAGAGCCTGAAGTCAGAAAGCATGCTTCTTCCCTCTGTTCTTTCTTAAGATTGTTCTGGCTATTGGGGTCTTTTGTTTTCCCAGATAACTTTTAAAATTATTTGATCTAGTTCTGTGAAAAATGCCATTGGTAATTTCATAGGGATTGCATTGAAACTGTATCTGGTTTTGGTACTGGGTTGATGGTGTCCTCATAGAATGACTTTGGAAGAGTTTCTTCCTCTGCAATTTTATGGAATAGTTCCAGAAGGCTAGGCATTAACTCTTCTCTAAATGGTTGGTAGAAATCATCTGTGAAGCCATCTGGTCGTGGACTTTTGTTTGTTGGTAGTTTTAAAATTACTGATTCAATTTCACTACTGGTAATTGGTCTATTCATATTTTCTTCCTGGTTCAGTTTTGGGAGATTGTACCTGTCTAAGAATTTGTCCATTTCTTCTGTGTTGTCCATTTTATTGGCATATAGCTGCTCCTAGTAGTCTCTTATGATCCCTTGTATTTCTGTGGTGTCAACTGCAACTTCTTTTTCATTTCTGATTTTATGGATTTGAGCCCTCTCCCTTTTTTTCTTGATGAGTCTGGCTAAAGGTTTGTCATTTCTGTTTATCTTTTCGAAGAACCAGTTTTTAGTTTTTTACTGATCTTCTCTATTTTTAAAAAAAATCTCTATTTCATTTATTTCTGCTCTGATCTTTCTGATTTCTTGCCTTCTACTAACTTTGGGTTTTGTTATTTCTCTAGCTGCTTTAGGTATAAGGTTAGGTTGTTTATTTGAGAGTTTTCTTGTTTCCTGAGGTAAGCTTGGATCATTATAAATTTCCCTCTTAGAACTGCTTTTGCTGCATCCCATAGGCTTTGGACCCTCTTGTTTTCATTTTCAGTTGTCTCTAGGTATTTTTTAATTGCCTCTTTGATTTCTTCACTGATCCATTGGTTGTTCAGTAGTATATTGTTTAGCTTCCACGTGTTTGTGTTCTTTCATCACCTTTATGATCATTCGCGGGTAAATTTCCTAGCTCCAGTCACTTAGTTCTTCTGGGGTTTTATCTTGTTCCTTCATCTGAAACATGTTCCTCTGCTGCCTCATTTTGTCCGAGTTGCTATTTTTTATTTTTATGTATGTGGTAGGTTAGTTACATTTCTCAGCCTTGGAGAAGTGGTTGGTCCTCTGTAGGAAACATCCTGTGCATTCCACCAGTGCACTCTCCTCTTGTCACCCAAGGTATATGCTGTGTGGGTCCTGTTGTGGAGGGTGACTATGGGCCATCTGGTAGGCTTGGTTGGCCCCTGGTCTGGTTGGTTGCCAGGCCCTGTCTTGTGCAGATGCTGCTGGCTGTTGTTTAGCAGGGCCTGGTTATGAGGTGGCTGGTTGTAGAACTCTAGTCTAGGCGGCCCCAGGGCTCGTGCTGGCTCACTGGTGGGCAGAGACAGGGTCCTGAAGACGCTGGGGCTTTTGCCTATCCACTGGCTGGTGAAGCCAGTTCCTGGGGTTAGTGGAGGGCTACTGGCAGGCAGAATTGAGTCCTGGAGTCTGGCTGCAGGGCCCAGGGATCCCAGAGCTAGTTTCAGTTTTTCTGGAGGGGAGTTCTGGTTGCTGTCACAGTTGGGTATGGGGTCCATGGTGTCCTCAAGGTTGCATTGGCCTGCTAGTGCACAGGGTTGGGGCCCAGTTGGTCCCAGGGTAGGGTCTCGCTTGCTATGGGAAGGCTTGGTTTGCAGGTTTCAGGATTGTAGTCTTCTGCTTCTGGTTCTGCTCCCTGGTGGGTGAGCTTGGTCTAGAGGGTAGTGCAGGCTTCCTGGTGGGCAGGGCTGGTGCCTGCCCGCTGGTGGGTGGAGCTGGGTCTTGGCCCTCTGGTGGGTAGGGCCTTGCTATGGACGTGTCTAGAGGTAGCTCTGAGCTCAGGAAGTCTTTAAGCAACCTTGGTGCTGACAGGTGGGGCTGAGTTCCCACCCAGATAGTTGTTTGGACTGGGTGTCCTAGCACTGTTGCCTGCAGGGTGTTGAGTGGTGCCAGGTCTTGGCACTAACAAGCTAAGATGACAGCCTCCAGCAGGAGTGCTCACACATTTAAATGATTTCCAATAAATATGCCACCAGTGTCTACGTCACCATGTTGGGCCACAGCTGTCCTCCCCACCCCTGGCCCTGCCTCTCCAGGAGATTCTCCAAGACAAGCAGGGAGGTCTGGCCCAGGCTCCTATAAAATTAATGCTTTTGCTCTGGGTTCCAGTGCATGTGGGACTTTGTGTGTGCTCCTTAAGAATGAAGTCTGTATTTCCCCCAGTCCTGAAGGGCTCCTGCAGTTAAGCCTTGCTGCCCTTCAAAGCCAAATGCTCTGGGGCTCATCTTCCCAATGCCAGACCCCTGGGCTGGGGAGCCTCATGTGGGGCTCAGAGCTCTCACTCCTGTGGCAGAACCTCTGCAATATAATAGTTCTCCAGTGTGTGGGCTGCCCTGGTGTGGGATTTGACTATATCGCAAGTCCACCCCTCTACCCGTCTCATTGTGGTTCCTTCTTTATGTCTTTAGTTGTAGATCTTTTCTGGTAGCTTCTAGTCTTTTTGGTACTTCTGCAGAGAGCTGTGATTTTGATGTGTTCATTCGAGGAGGTGAGCTCAGGTCTTTTCACTCCTCTATCTTGGCCACTGTCCCAAATCACACTGTTTATAACCTCTACTAACATTCACTGTTAGCTCTTTGCCAGGGTGTGTCACTTAACATACTCACTTACTCCTCACAAGCACCATATGAGGGAAGTAACATTACAATCCACATTTTACAGATGATGAAATTTAGACTTAGAGTAGAGAAATGTTCTGGTAAGAGTACATACTAGGATTCAGACTCTGGTCTGCTTCTGATCATCAGCACTGTTATGCTGCCTCCACTTACAGCAAGAACAGTTAGAATTTGTCTGTAATAAGGAAGTAATGATTCCTCACTTACTAAATTTCTAAATAAATGAGACAACCTGAGAAGTATCTGGTACAGAACTTGGCTCATAATAGGAAGAAGCGATCATTTCTTATTCGTTCAACAAATGTTTACTAAACACCTACTAGGTAAGCCAGGGAGTGTTCCAGGCCAGTGTTAGTCTACGAGTTTGTTTGTATTTCTTCCCTGAAGCATTTACAGATCATGAACACATAAACATTAGGTAAATCTGTTGACATTTAGAAAATATTATCTGAACTGCCATTTTAGGCTTAGTTCATTTTCAAGACGAGTAAGTTACCATATAGCTAAATCCCTGAAAACTCAGTAAAATCCTTCAATTTCTCCACTGGGGACTGTGTCGTAATCAGCCCACTGAAATGCACACCTTGGCCCCAAGAGGGACTTGAGGAATGAATGACTCCATTAAAGTCATTCCCCAGGCCTAGGGATCAGCTTAAAGCTATTCAGCTGTTATGGAGCACCTAGGAGCTGCACATTAACTGTAAAACATGAAGGATAGGGGGAAAGTGTAAGTGTGTCCCTGCAGAAAGAACCCTGATACAGAAAGGACCAGGATGGCCCTGAGAATGACCCCCAGTACTTTCAAGCAGTTGGCTAACTTCCCTTCAAGACTTGGCTAAGCACATCCTTTGCAAAGCCAGCATGGAACTCCTTGGGTACAATTAGTGAGCCCTTGCCCTGGGCACATCCACGGCACTTTGTGATGCCAGGTAATATGGTCAGCCACACATCTGAGTGCACCCCCAGGGCAGCACTCAGGGCTCAGTAAAGTTGGATGAATGGGCTTTCCTGTTTTGAAATAAGGCTCATCTTCTCTAGCTCTAACTCAAAACGATGCTGTGAAGATCAATATAATAGTGTGAAAGAAATTAAAGGAAAGACCAGAAGAATTAAACACATAGACTTCTTACCTGTAAAGACAGGGATCCAGCTAGAAAAAAGTGATCTACATCAATAACAGAGGCTAAAAATCCAGCTAAAACGATTTCTCCAAAGTCAGTCTTCTTCTTGATTCCGATGACTATTGCCCAGGACCACATGCCAATCATACAATGTACTGAGTTATCTGAGAGGGCTCGAAGCCAGTCATTTTGTTGAATTATGGAAAACTGAAGAAGTCTATCAGCCACGAAGCAAAACAGCCCCAGACCAAGGCTGGAAATAAGAGATCCAGGGCTGCAAGACTGGAGCAAAGCATGGGTCTTCTCAGTCTCGGATGCCATCACCAACACTACGTTAGCATGTACTGACAGCCATCGGGAGACACACAGCTTCTTCTTGTTTACATTCCCAGTCACCCTAAAATAGAAAGCAGAGAAAAACATTCATGAAGATTATGGGATGAATATGTACACAAAACAGTATCAGCAGTCATTTTACAAGTGTAAAACCAATCTGTGAAAATTATCTTCCTTTCTTTTAACTGTTGTCTGTAGTTTCATTTTATTTGTCCCAGCTTTATTAACATATCACTGATATATAACGCTGTGTAAGTTTAAGGTGTACCGCATGATGATGTGATACACACATATATAGTGAAATGATTACAATAAGGTTAGTTAACACCTCCATCACCTCACACGGTTACCATTTTTTGTGTGGTGAGAACATTTAAGATATACGCTCTTAGCAACTTTCAAGTATTAAAAGAAATAGTATTTCTTAAATTTATATATAATAATATGCCATGTGGCCCAAAGAGAAATTAGCTTTGTAGGAGCAACAGTTTAAGACGGTAGCATGTATCAAGGGAAACTTAAGAAGGCCCACTGATTTTAATCTATTACTTTTTTGAGGTCACCAAATAGTTCCATCTTTCAACAATGTATACTACACAGTAGTGGGCATCCACTGTGTCTGTGTACCCAGCAACTACTTTCCATACTTTCTCTGGTAACAGCATCCTTTTCCTTTGGGAAAACTGCTCATCACAATACCCAAACTCCGGAGCTGAGAATTCTGTCTCATTTATTAGTAGTAGCAATTAACTAGCAATTACTAATTAGTAATAATTGTCCAGGAGTGGTTAATTGTGATTACTCTAGTGATGAAGGTGACCCAGGCTGGGCCAGATTCTTTTTCCCTAATTTTCCTAAGTGGAGCTGATGGAGAAAGTTCCTTTTCTTCTTACAGACCGTGGACTCCACTATGTGGAACAGCCCAGGAAAAAAGAATCATAAGGACATCAAGTCCTCAGGTTCAGTCCCCAAGGGTCTCAGAGCTGCCCCAGTTCCGGAAGCTCACTTTTCACTTCTATGAGCTGTCAGAGGATTTTTCCCAGTAAATTTCCCAGTAAATCCCCTTTCCCTTTGGTTGCCTCTAACCAAAGAACCTTAGTTGATATAACAAAGCAATTAATGCTGTGCCGAGTGCTCACCTGGCACAGAATATTGAAATCATTTATCCACACACAAAATTGTGTGATACCTCAAGTGCTTATTTTATATTGTTTTGTTTTAATTCTGAGACTAAAGAAGAATTAAATGATTTATTGAGAACGCTTCAACTTCCATTCTGTAATAAAAAAAAACTATACATAGCTCACTGTATATATTCAAAAATCAAAAGCAAAATGCAAAAGACCTAGACAGGAAAACAACTTTGAAAAAGAGGAACTAAGTTGAAGGACTTACACCATTTGGTTTCAAGTCTTATGATAAAGCCACAGTAATTAAGAATCTGGTATTGGTATGAAGATGGACAAACAGATCAATGAAACAGAAGAGAGAGTGGGATCAGAAATAGATTCACACATACAAGGTCAACTGATTTTTGACAAACATGCAGAGGCAAGTCAATGGGGAAAAGATACTCCTTTCAACAAATGGTGCTGGAACAACTGGAAATCCATACGTAAAAATAATAAACCTCAATCCATAACTTCTTCCCTAAACAAAGATTAACTAAAAATGGATCACAGACCTAAAAGTAAAACACAAAACTATAAACCTTCTGGAAGAAAACATAGGAGAATATTTTTGTCCTTGGGTTATTATACAAAGAGTTCTTCATAGCCACATCAAAAGCTCAATCTTTTAAAAACTTGATAAATTGAACTTCATCAAAGTTAAGAACTTCTGCCCTTCGAAAGACAATGTCAAGAGAATGAAAAGACAAGACACAGACTGGGAGGAAATATTTGTGTATCTCATATTTGATAAAGGATTTATATATAGACTAAAGAATTCTCAAAACTTGAGGACAGAAAATGAAACTGATACAAAAATGGGCAAAAGATTTGAAAAGGTACTTTACAGAGATAATATACAGATGGTCAATAAACACATGAAATATGCTCAACATCATAAATTATTATGGAAATGAAAATTAAAACCACAATGAGATTACAAACATAACTATTAGAATAGCTAAAATTAAAGACTGACCATCCCAAATGTTGGCAAGATGCGGAGCAACCAAAACTCTCACACCTTGCTGGTGGAAATGTAAAATGATACAACCACTTCCCAGTTTCTGAAAAAGTTAAACATACTAATACTATATCACACCATCATTCCACTCCGAGGTATTTACCTAAGAAAAATGAGAGCAAATATCTGCACAAAGATTTGCACATCAGTGTTCATAGCAGCTTTCTCTCCATTAGCTCTGAACTGTAAACAACCCAACTGGCTAAACAAAATATGGGGAAAAAGAATAAAAGAAACAAAAAAAGGGATACAGACAAAATCATGAATGAATCCTAAAATAATACTAAGCCAGAACAACAACAACAAAAAGTAGGTAGTCAAAACCCATTGAACTGTGTAACACAAAGAATGAACCCTAATGTAAACTATGGACTTTAGTCAATACAAAGGTATCAATATTTGTTTATTAACTGTAACAAAAGCACCACATTCATGCAAAACATTAACAATAGGGGGAAATGTGTGCAGAGGGAAAAGGAATATATGGGAATACTCTGTTCAGTTTTTCTGGAAACCTAAAACTGCTATAAAAAATAAATTCTATTAATTTTTAAAAAGTAAATAAAGCATTATGGGAAAATGTTATAATGGTTAAATTTAGGTAATGGATATAATTTAGTTCATTATACTGTACTCTACCTTTATGTCTGAAATTTTCATTTAGAAATACGTTTTTTAAAAGGGTACATAATATGATTCCATTTATGAAAAATTCTAGAAAATGCAAACTAAGTGACAGAAAGCAGATTAGTGGTTGCCTGGAGACAGGAAGGATAGGAAGCATTAAAAAGGAGCATAAGGAAATCGGGGGGGGGTGGGCAGATGTGTTCATTATCTTGACTGTGGTGATGGTTTCATGGTGCATAGTTTCATACCTACATCAAAGCATATCACACTGTACATTTTAAATAGGTACAGTTTATTACATGTCAATTATACTCCAATAAAGATGTTAAAAATAAGGAAAATATACTTCACTATCGATAACAATAGCAGCCTTTCATATAAAAGGAGCAATCTGAAGACAAGAAAGAGATTATGGAGGTAAAAAGCCTGACTGCCTAAACAAAAAGTCAACAGAAGCAATGCACAGTAAAATGAATGCTTCGAAAAGCACAGTGAATAAGAACACTTTCAAAGAATTTTCCCAGAGCTTGAGGGGGGGAAAAAAAGGACAAAGAGTTGGGCACTGAAAGCAAAAAACAAAAAAACAAAACAAAAAAAAAGAGAGAAAATCCTTAAGCGTTTCCTAGTCTGAAAAAAACAAGGAAAAAAAAAAGGTTCTCTGCAAAGGAAAGTGAACATGATTAATACCCACACTAAATGCCAAATATTGTGGAGCCACAATTACAGAGCTCTGAGTCATGACAGCAGGGTTCTAAACAGGTAATTCTTATGTTCACTAAACAGTAACAACCACTAGGTTAATAGAAAACCAAAATGACAAAAACCACAAAACATTACCTTGAAAGTCAGAAACAGTATAACTGAATCACTTTGCTGTACACTTGAAACGCTAAATCAGCTACACTTCAATTAGAAAAAATCTATATATGGATTGAAAAAAAACAGTACAGCTACTATAATATTGTTCTGGCAGTTTTAATCAATGTAATGAGGCAAGGAAGGGATGGAGGGATGGATGGAAGGAGAGAAAGAAAATTGTGTCATCACCCTGACAGGAAGAAAAAGATCATTACATTAGTGTGTAAGTGAAATGACTTCCTATCCAAGAGAATGAATTGAATAGAATTTAAGTTGCAAAACGTGGCTAATTCAAGATAAACATTAATATATCAGCAGTAATCATAAGGGGACAATATGGGGAAATGTACATTCAGAATCGCAATAAAAACTCAAAGATCAAGGAATCAACTGAACAGGTAACACGTGTGAAGCAAAGGACAAAACTGTATTAAAGGATGGAAAAGGCCAACCAGCTAATTAAAGCTCAGGTGGCTTTGGGCTGTGACAACACAGCGAAGGTGCAAGTACAGAATGCCCCTCCTTGTATGGTTCTGGGCAAGGTTGGCCACAGGGGACACTGCATATGGGACTTGGAAGACGGGGGTGAAGCAGCAGCCGTTCTGTTAAACTCTGAAGGTCAGTGTTAAGACAGTGTGGAGCTTAAGTGTTCTGCTGACCTGTCAGCTCACCGTGTTGGCAAAGGAAGCAGCTGGGTTTGCAGCTCCTTCAGCTCCCACCACATCCTCCATCACCTTCTCCAAATCCTGGGCCAGCGTGTATAGCCCAAGGTCAGAAGTGCCAGCTCTGCCAGTTACCCATGGGGTCAAAACTGGAGTCGGTGAGAGGCCAGTGCAGGTCCCCCTGTCCTTGTTCTCATCCACACCCACCTTCCCTTCCCAACTGTCTGTCCAGCTGATCTGTGGCAGCTTCAGGCTCAACGGCAGACTCGAGACAACAGCCTGCACAGCTGCTCTCCCAGCCCCACAATTACAGAAAGTCTAAGCCCTGTGATTAATTTCTTACCCTTTAGCATGCAAAGCGGTTCTGCTGCTTTGATGAACTGCACTGACACAAGCGCCAGGGCATTTAACTGAGTAAGAAGACAACATGGGTGGTGGTTTCTCAAATTAATCTACAATGTAATTCTAATCAAAATCATAAAGGGATTTTCTTCTAGCAACTTCACAAACTTTCTAAATTTTATTTGAAAGAGTAAATGCCGATAAACTTCAAAAAGGTAGAGTAATGTGAATACTGAAAGGTGAGTACAAAGTCCGAGACAGATCAAATGTGTATGGGGAGGAGGAAATGTATGTCTAATTTCAAATCAGTAAGGAATGATTATTTCACTCAGATGCTGTATCAGTTAGGATTGTTAAGTGCACAGAACAGAAAACACTGGCAGTAAAAGAGAAAAACATTTATTAAAAGGATATTTGGAAAGGGGAGGGTATAGCTCAGTGGTAGAGCAGGTGTTAGCATGCACGTGGTCCTGGGTTCAATCCCCAGTACCGCCATTAACATATATATATATGTGTGTGTGTGTGTGTATATATATATATTATATACATATATACACATTATATATATATATAAACCTAGTTGGCTCCCACCTCCAAAAAAATAAAATAAAATAAGAATTAAAAAAATAAATTTACAAAAGGATATTGGCAAGTCATAGGCCTGCCAGGTTTCAAGAACCAGGCTTCAAACCTATGCCTCAAGCACCTCAGTGAAAATGACAGCAGACACCTGTGAAGACCCCCCCCACCACCACTGAGCCTCGCTTCCACTGCCGAACCCATCAGCAGATGTGACCATGGGCACGGCCGCCAGTGCTGCCCTGTCTGCTGCTGCCATGAAAGATTCCTGTTTATGTTTATTTCTTTGCTCTCAATACAAAATTCAGAGTGGGCACTGGTCACATGCCTGTACCCTAGTTGCAAGGGAGGTTAGAAAAGATAGTATTTGGCCTTTTCAGCATAGATAGTAGAAGGTGGGTTCTCTTCTCCTTCAAGATGCATTAGAAGAGGAATATACTATACTGAACAGGAAATGACCAGTCCACGTTTGTAATCAGTCTGTTACAAATGGCTTTAATTGCTAAGTATTACCAGAGAGTCAATTATCAGAGGAAACCTGAGACTGGATCATCTGCGCAATGTGCAGCTTTATATGGTACAGTTGTTAAATCAAACAACTGTAGATTTTAAAATGTCATATTCGGATGGATTAGAGTTTTGCAATACTGACCATTTCTCTTGTTAAATTAAGACAGGGAATCAGTTTGAATGACCAGCTGCCTGGAAATTTTCTAGGGTTAGTTTTTGTAATCAGTTGGGTTATAAATCTGGAATATTTATATGAATTTGTAAACAGACTTTTATATAATTCAGCGAGTTAGACTTTCAGAACTGGGCTCCAAATTATTTTTAAAATACTGATAGACATCACTATATGAAAATATAAAACCTTTACATGGCAAAGTTAAAGACAAATAAAGAGAGGAAATTTAGAACAGTTATCCTGGAGAAAGATTACAAGCATTACTTTATTAAGGGCTCTTAAAATGAATAAAAAGAAAAAATAAGTATCCCAATAATAATGTGGACAGTGTCTACGAAAAGGCAGCTTGGAAAAGGAAGAAATGCAAATAGTTAAAAAAAAACTATTAAAACATTTCAACTTTATTGGTACTCAATTGAATTTAAATTAAAACAATGAGATTTCAGTGTAAGATAGACAAAAGCTTGCTAATTCTTTCTGTTAGCGGTGGGGGAATGATCACTCTTACAGAGCATTAGCAGGAGTATAAATTGGTACAACTTTTCTAGCAGACAATTTGACAATATGCACATGTATCAAAAATCATTAAAAACTGATAAGCAAACACTTTTGACTTAGCACTTCCAATTCTAGGAATTTACCCTAAGAAATGAATTAGATAAATACAAAGAATTACACATGGATGTTCAGCATGGTATTGTTTATAAGGAAAAACCAGAAACTAAATGTCCAAAATACAGGACTAGTGAAATACATTCCACACAACTATGCAGCCATTAAAAAAAAAACTTATTCCCATATTTATTGACATAGAAAAATACTCAATAGGTGTTAAATTTTAAATGGTAGCCTATAAAATAATATGTAAAATATTGCATTTTTGTTAAAAATATGTGCATATGCATGAAAAAATCTGGAAGGCTGTTCATTTGGCTTGTCTCACTGGTGGGCTTACATGTGATCCTTACTTTTTTTCCCTTTGATCTCTTACAAATTTTCAATGTCTTGCTATTATGAACATAAAACCAATAAAGCGACTTTGAAAAGTTAACAGTCAGAAGTAATTAAACAATTCACATCATGATGTTAAAGTCAGCTTCTTAAAAGTTTAATTAAAAAGGTAGAAACATTTATAACACTATAAATATGTATTAATAAAAATATTAGGATACATTAATAAACATTAATAAAATTATATACAATTCTCATAAGTCAAATTTATACTATAATATAAAACTAACTTGTTCATATTTATGTATTAGTAGACACATGAAAAGTCTGTATGAAAGATTTCTCTATCTCTAGATGAAATAAACTTATGCAGGTTCCTTTCATTCTTTTTTTATTAATGTGAAAAATACTTTGCAGAGAGCAACTATTTTGTTAATGGAATCTACAATCAATGCTCATATTCTTGGTCATTGGCAAAAAAGAAAACTGTTCTTTAAAGCAATAAGTTTGGGTTCTAATCTACAGACTCTCCCAGGATTAGGAAATAATGATTTAAAGGTACTTTCAACAAGAGATATGACTAAAATGCAAAATATGCAAAAGACACCTCCAAGGTCATGAATCCTTTCTGTAAACCTCAGGATTTATAGTCCTACAAATTATGAATTATTTGTCTCTATTTTGCAAAGTAAACATTTGACAGTTGAATGGATAAATAAGTCAATGTATTTAAAGGCTCAGTGCATGTAATTTTAAAGTCTATGAAATATTCCTTTGAGCCAAAGATAAATGACAGTATCCACTTAGCTAGATGGGAACTGGGACACAGAAAGCTTGAATTAGTGACCAAACCAGAGAGATACAGCAGAAGCAGCAATATCCCTCCCCTTCAGAAAGCCGTGCTGTAAATCAGCCCTAAGGAGAAAGAAGGCCACTCAGGTGGCTGAGTCGGGGGAGAACGTAGGCTGGACAGAGACTACACAGAAGCCTAACAGAAAAGCTCTTCTGCCACTCAAACTGCGCTTACATATGCATTTCATTACAAATTTACTGTCAAACTTTATCCCAGAAATCAGACAGAAATAAAAGGTCATTATCTACCTAATTACAAACTGCATGCTGTTTCTATAAAGCCACTGCATTACATCCATCTTCTTTTACTCACTAAACAATTTTTATCATCACGAAATATACTTAAATGTTACTCACCTTACATTTTACTTGATGAGTCCAGATACTAAAAGGATCGAGCAGCCAGTAAAGTGTCATGAGCAAAGTGAAACATCAGAAGATCACTTCAGGTATTTAAATGATGATACAAATTTAAAGTGACCTGAAAAAGAAAAACTTACTATATAGAAAATAACTATTTTGTGGTTTACAAATAGGAACAGATACACATAACGGGGCAGCACAAAATGCATTTTAAATGTAAAGTTTAAACAATTTGCTTGATGAGAAAGGAACAAAAAGCTCATTTGAGTGAACTTGGAAGCAGATCCTTCAGCCCCAGTCAAGCTTTCAGATGCATGCAGCCCTGCCACCATTTGGACTACAACTTCATGAGACCCTGAGCAGAACCACTCAGCTAAGCCTCTTCTCAAATCCTGGCCTACATACAGTGAGATAATAAATGTTCAGCTGTAAGCCTCTAAGTTTGGGGGTAATTTGTTATGCAACAATAGATAACTAAAACAATAGTTTCTATTTTCAAGAAAGGCATAAATAATTATGGTCCCAAAAACACACAATTCTGACATCTATTCCACTCCAATTATTGGTGCAGATATTTCGATTAGATTGAGTATGAGAAAGAAATTTAGTAAGTGTACTTCCTCTTTATTGTCTCTAACACAACTAAGTGTTCCATTTTTTTTCCTTTTTCGTTTTCCACTTCCTTCTCCTCCCCATACAAACAGAATGCACTTCAGAACCTCTTAAATTGTCAAATAGCTTTATGTTTACTTTACATATTCACTTTTGTTGGGCAGGATCCTTAATATTTTACTTTATTAATACAGGGGGTAAGCAGGTAGGCAAATCCTCAGCCTGTGAATTAAAGATTTGGAATGATTTCTCTGCCATAACAGCCAGTACCCAGATCATAAATTTCTCTCTGACTTGAAGGAGCCACCTTCTATTATGGCTAAATTCTGCCACACTTCATCCCTCATTATAGTAAAATGCCATCGACTATGAGGCCTTCAAAGTATACGCAGTAGTAATCCTCTCTCTCCTTAACTCCACACACACTTAGCCAGTTACTTTAATTACACACTATTGTGCACTGTTTGTTAATAATCTCTTAAACATCATTACAAAGCAAGTAAGAGGTAACAAATTCCCAACAGAAATGTCTTTTTCTGCTTCACCCTCTTCCTCCCCCGCTAACCTCCAACACAAATATTTACAAAACCCTGTGGTGACAGCAGTCTAAAATCCGAAAACTGCCTTTATTATGCGTTACAAATAAGGCCTCTTCACCGAACTGTAGCTACTACGAAACTTAATATATATTTTTCTTTAATGCCATAATACCTAAAGCAGATGCCAAACCTAATACAGTTAACCTGCAAAGAAAGAAAACACACATCTTGCTCCGTTTCAGATACTTTTCATAACCTGCATATAAAACGTTTATCCCTATGATTATTACGAATAAAACATACAATTCTGAATTTCAGCAAGTCTTGGCAAATTCTCAATGTCTTTCTTTCCCAAGGTTGGCGTGATGCAGTAATTTTTAAAATGTCTATTAGGAAAATAGGGTAGGAAACCCCTCCGTCCGTAGGGAAGGGAGCCTGTTACACTCATCACAATCACGCCTCCAGGAGCAGGGCGGCATTAAGGGCTCTCGCGCTGTTAACATGAAAACGGGCAGCTCCGGCAAGACCCCCGGCACTCAGCCCTGAGCCTGGGAAACGCGAGGGGCGAGAAACCTTGGCAAGGGCAGGACACCTAAGGGACCAAGAAGGCGGGATGAAGCCGAAGGGCGGTGCAGGGACCGCCCAGATCCCGGGGCCTCCGACCAGTAAGGACTGAGCACTCCGACAGTCTCGGGTCCCGGAAGCTTGCTGCCCCTGCACGCCCTCCCCATCGGGAACCTGGATCTTCCAGACTTCAGGTTCAGCTGGTCCCCGCCTCTGGCCTCCCACCTCAGGACGCAGTTTGGCGGCGTCCAGACCGTGCCCCTCCCGCCGGGTTCCTCGTGCAGCTCAGCCGCACCCACCATCCGCTCTCGCGGCTGCAGCCCGCGGCGCGAACGGAGGCCCCGCCCCTCCCCGCCCGCCTCTGTCGGCACCACAGAGATGCCGGCCGCGGGCCAGAGCGGCTGCAGCCCGCAGCGCCGGCCGAGAGGACGCCGGGATACCGGTCCCACGCTGAGCCGGCGGGAAGGACGCTTGAGTGCAGTTGGATACCTGGAGTTACCCTCAGACCTGCGCCACAAAAAGACTTTTGGGATGGTGGGGTGAGAACTACAAAGTGCCTTGCTTTTTTCCTTCCGCCGAACCGTAGGATTCGTTCTCGGTTTAGCGGGCGCCGTCCACAGACTTACCGCCGACCTAGCCACAAGGCGCCACCTGGCGACGGGGAAGAGGGACGCAGAATTAACTCCCGAAAGTCGGACGCGCGGCCTTGTGCCCAGACGCCTGAGCTCGGAGCCCGCTGCCGTCGTGGGTTCCGAGGGTGTACGGATACTCTGACTTCCTTCCAGGGATTCCTCAGGGTGGGTGTCCGAGGTTTCCACGAGACGAGAACTCGCGACCTTGTACACCTGACTCCTCCGTGACGTTTCACCACCGCCTTGGGGATTTCTTGATAATTATTCTTGGCCTCTGTGCGGGTGAACACTGGGGGCGGCTCTTCCTTGCGGACTGTAGTGACGTGGCCAGAACGCGTCATCATGAGTACTAAGTGCTCACTAGTCGAAAAAGCCACTTAAAGGGTAGCTTGACCCTGATTAACTGGAGACAAGACGCTGTATAGTGAGCCCGGCCAGTTCCCATCCCGTCTCCCTACCTCGGAGTGGTGGGTGCGCTCTGAGCACCAAGGAGACATCTGGCTTACGCTAGGAAGCACTGGCCCAAAAGGGGAGGCTCAGGGAGGAACATTTCTTTCTTTCGTACCTACAGTTTCTCAAAACTAGTATCCAACGTAAAGCAGGAGCAGCAGTGGGATTATATTGATTATATACTTGAGAAAGAGACCATAGAAAATCCAAATCTTCAATCTCAAGCGGCTAGACTCCTCACAGAACCTTAAAATGTGGCTCAGTTACTGTTAGAACTTCTCACTGCTTGTTACACTCAGTTCTTAGCGAACGGGAAAGACTCAGCTGAGGGAGGAAATTACATGTATTTTTACCTGCACAGCTTAAATGTTTGCTAAAATGATCTATCACTGAATGCATTAACCATAATATTAGGTGCTTTTAGTCATGTTAAGGACAAACTTTTTCTGTCCGAATGCAGTTATAATTTGGCATTTCTTATGGGCAGCATAGTACACGTCTTATCATACTCTAGGCTTCCTAGAGTTCTTTAGGGACAACCACAGATGGTTTCCTGCAACCAAAAGAAGATTTACAGTTATTTTCTCTGTGGTCAGCCTACTGCCCAAAGGCACTATTTATTTATACAATACATACTGAGTGTGCACAATATACCAGGCACTATGCCTAGTAATAAAGGTAAAGAATAGCTTTATTGCAGCTTAAGTTCTAGTAGAGGATACAGACCACAAAGAAGCTGGATGATTGAAATACGTACTGTAAAATAAATACAGTAATGTAGTAGTAACTGGGGGAGGCCCCCCTCTTGAAGAAGGGTTATTTGTGCTGAGACCTGAAGGTAGTAGGGAGCCCGAAGTGAGAGGAGCTAAAGAGAGTATTGTGCCCATTTAAACTGCTGGCATTATCACTCCTACCCTGCTACACTCTGCTTGCTTTGCTTTCTATTTTTCTCCTTGTCTCATCTGTTGCTTATTCCCTTTTATGTGAAGAGTCTGTTCTTTTCAAGAAATCACAAGTTAATCAGAACATTTCTGGTTATATTGGTATAATTTTTTTTATTGGAAGTATAGTTGAATTACAGTGTTGTGTTAGTTTCTCATGTACAGCATAGTAGTTCAGTTATACATACGTATTTTTTTCATTGTAAGTTATTACAGGATATTGAATATAGTTCCTGGTGCTATACAGTAGGACCTTGTTGTTTATTATTTTATATTTAGTAGTTCGTATCTGCTAATCCAAAATTCCTAATTTAGTCCTCTCCCCCCCTTCTCCTTTGGTAACCATACGTTTGTTTTCCATGTCTGTTAGCCTGTTTCTCTGGGGGTTCTCTGTTCTTTGGTTTTTTGTTTTGTTTTTTGCCGGGGGAGCAAAGAAAAGAGCAGCATTATTGCTTTGTTTGGCAAAGAGAGTTACAGCAGGCTAATGCCTTGAAGGCTGTGAGCCCCAGCCTATTTCTGTTTTGTAAATAAGTTCATTTATCACAAATAAGTAATATCATATATTTGTTTTCTCTGACTTACTTCACTTAATATGATAATCTCTAGATCTGTCCATGTTGCTGTAAATGACATGATTTCATTCTTTTTAATGGCTGAGTAATATTCCATTGCATAAAGATACCACATCTTTATCCAATCATCTGTTGATGGACATCTAAGTTGCTTCCATGTCTTGGCTATTGTAAATAGTGCTGCTTTGAACATTGGAGTGCATGTATCTTTTCTTCTTCTTTGTTTTTAAAAATCTATTGTAGTATAGTCCATTTACAATGTTGTGTCAATGTCTGGTGTAAAGCATAATGTTTCAGTCACACATATACATACATGTATTGGTTTTCATATTCTCTATTATAGGTTATTACAAGATATTGAATATAGTTCCCTGTGCTGTACAAAAGAAACTTGTTTATCTAGTTTATATATAGTAGTATCTGCAAATCTCGAACTCCCAATTTATCCCTTCCCACCTCCTCTACCCCTTGGTAACTATAAATCTGTTACCTTTATCTGTGAGTATGTTTTTTGTTTTGTAAGTAACTTCATTTGTGTCTTTTTTCTTTTTTTTTTTAGATTCCACATATAAGCAATAGCATATGGTATTTTTCTTTTTGTGGCTTACTTCACTTAGAATGAGAATCTCCAGGTCCATCCATGTTGGTGCAAATGACATTATTTTATTCTTTTTTATGGCTCTGTAGTATTCCAGTGTGTGTGTGTGTGTGTGTGTGTGTGTGTGTGTGTGTGTATCACATCTTGTTTATCCAGTCATCTGTCAGTGGACATTTAGGTTGCTTCTATGTCTTGGCTATTGTAAGTAGTGCTGCTGTGAACATTGGAGTGCTTGTATCTTTTCGAATTAGAGTTTTCTCCTGGTATATGCCCAGGAGTGGGATTGCTGGATCAT